TAATTTTTAATACAAAAATAAATAATTTATTAAATAATTGAATGTTTCTCAAAATTGAATTCTCATAAAGAATTTATTTATAAATTTTTAAATAATTGAATACTTTTGACGAATTTTAATAAAATTTTAAGTGTAATTACATTTTTCGAGGAATTCGATTAAAATTGTTTTTTCAAGATTTATAAAAATCCCGCTTTCTTTTTCTCATCAAATTTAAATTTATTTGATTTCGAAATAAATCTACAAATGGCTTCAAAAATTTTTGATTAGAGTTTTTATGAATAATTAAATTCTTTTGACACATTTCTTTAAATTTTTTGAAAATAACGTTTTTTTTAATAATTTTAATTGAAAATTTGGAAAATAATTGAATTAAACAAAGAATTTTTACAAATTTCAAAAATAATCTTGTCTGTTCATAACTAAAATTAAAAATTTGATTAATTCAATTTTATTAAAATTTATTGATACTAATTGAATTTCTGCAAAGAATTTTACTATTTATAAAAGTAATTGAATCTTTCCACAAAATGTTATTTATTCATGAAAATAATTGAAATTTTGCCAAGAATATTATTAAAATTTTGGAAAATCATTGAATTGTGGAGAACAATTTAATTATTTATAAAGATATTTGAAATTTTAAGGAGAATTAAAAAAAATTTTTAAACATAATTGAATTTTTGCGAAATAATTGAATTCTTGAGAAAAATTTTCTTTACAGTTTCTAAGAATAATTGAATTCATTCAACGATTTTTAACAAAATGTTTAAAAATAATTACATTTTTCAAGAAATTTAATTATAATTGTATTAAAAATAATTGAAATTTTTTGTGACAAATTTTATTATTTTCAGAAATAATTGAATTTTTTTGAAAGAATTTTATTGACATTCTTGATAATAATTGAATTTTTCCGAAGATTTTTGCTGACATTTTAAAAAATAATTGAATTCCTTCGAAGAAATTTATTATTTTTGAAAATAATTGAATTCCTTCGAAGAAATTTATTATTTTTGAAAATAATTGAATTCTTGCAAATAATTTTAATACTTTTGAAAATAATTGAATTTTTTCTAAAAAATTGATTGAGATTTAAAAAAATAATTGAATTCATGAGAAGAATTTTATTATTTTTGAAAATAATTGAATTTTTTGGAAGCCTTTTATGGAGATTTTTCAAAATAATTGAGAAGAATTTTATTGAGATTTTAATGAATAATTGTATCCCTATGAAGAATTTTATTAAAATTTTTAAAAATACCGTTTTGAATTTCTACGAAGATTCTTGAAAATAATTGAATTTCTGAGAAGCTTATTATGAAAATTTCAAAAGATAATTGAATTTTTGCAAAGATTTTTGTTGAGATTTTAAAAAATAATTGAATTCCTTCGAAGAAATTTATCATTTTTGAAAATAATTGAATTCCTGCGAAGAATTTTATTATATTTTGATAATAATTGAACTTTTTGCGAAAAAATTTATTGAGAGTATCAGTTTGGTTGACTACTTATATTTTTAATAAAAAAATTTTTTTCTCATAAATAACAATATAATAAAAAAAAATAAAATGTAAAAAAAATATTAATAATAATAGTAAAGCTGAAAAAAAATTAATGAATATTCATATAACATTTGAAAATTAATGAAAAACATTCCTTTCACCAATTTTCAAATTTTATTCTATATATATGAATATTCGTAATTTAAATTTTAAATATTATTCAGTCGAACGAAATTAAACGTATAACAATATAAATGAGAGTCAATAAAGCATTTTCTTCTTTAATTCTATTTTAAATTTAGTCTATTATATAACGATTTTATCATTTTTTAAAAATTATTTTTATTATTCATTTTAAGTTTGAAGCGAGATTGAAATGAGAATTAAAACAAAAAAATGGGACAGAGGATAAAAGAAACCTTGTACTTTTTTTTTATATGATCCACAATTCTCTTTCTCCGTTTACTTCTCTTTTAATTTCTTTTTAAGTCTTTTTTGTGAATAATTTATTGTTATATTCTTCAAGTTTCTACTTAAAATTAAAAAATTAATTTTTAGAAAATTCATATCACTTTTTTTTCTAATTAATATAAAATCTTTTACTTTAACAGATTAAAATAATAAGTTTTGTAATAAAATATTTTTGAGAGAAAAATTTGGAAATTATTTAATTTTCCATTAAATTTTTCTTTCATAAGTGAATTTTTTAAAAGTGCTTCGAAGAATATTATTGAAATTTTAGAAAATAATCGAATCTCTCGAAAGAACTTAATTATTTTTAGAAAAAATAACTGAATTTCTGTGAAGAATTTAAAAAAAATTGAATTCCCGTGAAGAATTATATTATTTTTGATAATAATTAAACTATTGCGAAAAAATTTATTGAGATTTTAGAAAATAATCGAATCACTAAAAAAAATTTTATTATTTTCGGAAATACTTAAATTTTGTAAAAGAATTTTAATGAGATTCTTGAAAATAATTGAATTCTTGCGAAGAATTTAATTATTTTTGTAAATAATTGAATTTTTTCTAAGCATTTTGTTGAGAGATTTTAAAAAATAATGTAATTCCTGCAATGAATATTATTGAAATTTTTAAAAATACCTAATTAAATTCCTACGAAGATTCTTGAAAATAATTGAATTTTTGAGAAGCTTTTTATGAAAATTTCAAAAAAAAAAAATTGAATTCCTGCAATGAATTTTTTGTAATTGTTAAAAATAATTGAATTCCTTCTAAGAAATTTATTATATTTAGAAAATAATTGAATTCCTTTTAAAAAATTTATTATTTTTGTAAATAATTGAATTTTTCCTAAGAATTTTAATGAGATTTTAAAAAATAATTGAATCCTCGAGAAGAATTTTATTATTTTTGGAAATAATTGAATTTTGCGAAGAATTTTATTAAAATTGTTGAAAATAATTTAATTCCTTCGAAAATTTTTATTATTTTAAAAATAATTAAGTTCCTGCAAAGATTTTTAATACTTTTGAGAAAATAATTGAATTTCTTCGAAGAAATTTATTATTTTTTAAAATAATTGAATTCTTCCAAACAATTTTATTATTTTTGTAAATAATTGAATTTTTCCTAAGAATTTTATTGAGATGTTAAAAAATAATTGAATCCTTGAGAAGAATTTTATTAAGATTTTAAAAAATAATTGAATCCTTGAGAAGAATTTTATTGATATTTTTAAAAACACCTTTTTGAATTCCTATAAAGATTCTTCAAAATAATTAAATTTTTGAGAAGCTTTTTATGAAAATTTACAAAATTCATTGAATTTCTGAGAATAAAGTATTATAATTTTTAAAAATAATTGAATTCCTGCGAAGAATTTTATTATTTTTGTAAATAATTGAATTTTTTTGTAGATTTTTATTAGTATTTTTAAAAATAATTGAATTTTTGTAAAGCTTTTTATAAAAATAAAAAAAATAATTTAATTCCTGCGAAGAAATTTATTATTTTTGGTAATAATTGAATTTTGCGAAGAATTTTATTGAAATTGTTGAAAATAATTTAATTCCTTCGAAGATTTTTATTATTTTTAAAAATAATTGAATTCCTGCAAAGATTTTTAATACTTTTGAGAAAATAATTGAATTTCTTCGAAGAAATTTATTATTTTTGAAAATAATTGAATTCCTCCAAACAATTTTATTATTTTTGTAAAGAATTGAATTTTTCCTAAGAATTTTATTGCGATTTTAAAAAATAATTGAATCCTTGGGAAGAATTTTATTGATATTTTTAAAAACACCTTTTTGAATTCCTATGAAGATTCTTCAAAATAATTAAATTTTTGAAAGCTTTTTATGAAAATTTACAAAATTCATTGAATTTCTGAGAAGAAAGTTTTGTAATTTTTAAAAATAATTGAATTCTTGCGAAGAATTTTATTATTTTTGTAAATAATTGAATTTTTCCTAAGAATTTTATTGAGATTTTAAAAAATAATTGAATTCCTGCAAAGAATATTATGGAAATTTCTAAAAATATCTTATATTAAATTTCTACTATGATTCTTGAAAATAATTGAATTTTTGAGAAACTTTTTAAGAAAATTTAAAAAAAAATAGAATTCCTGCAAAGAATTTTATTATTTTTGGAAATATTTGAATTTTTCCTAAGAAATTTATTGAGATTTAAAAAAATAATTGAATTCATGCGAAGAATTTTGTTATTTTGGAAAATAATTGAATTTATGCGAAGAATTTTATTATTTTTGAAAAAAATAATTCAATTTTTGAGAAGCTTTTAATGGAAATTTTAAAAAATAATTGAATTCCTGCGAGGAATTTTATTGTAATTTTTAAAAATAATTGAATTCTTGCGAAGATTCCTGTTGAGATTTAAAAAATAATTGAATTCCATGGAAGAAATTTATTATTTTTGAAAATAATTGAATTCCTGCAAAGAATTTTATTATTTTTGGAAATATTTTAATTTTTCTTAAGAAATTTATTGATATTTAAAAAAATAATTGAATTCATGCGAAGAATTTTGTTGTAATTTTTAAAAATAATTGAATTCCTTGGAAGAAATTTATTATTTTTGAAAATAATTAAATTCCCGCGAAGAATTTTATTATATTTTGATAATAATTTTTTTCGCAAAAGTTTAATAACTTTTGTGAAAAAATTTATTAAAAGTTTAGAAAATAATTAAATAATTTGTATTAAAAATAATTGAATTCCTTGCAAAAAATTTTATTTACGAATGTAATTGAACTTCTGATAAAAATTTCATTATTTTTGAAAATAATTGAATTTATAGTTATACGATAATAATTTTATTATTTTTATGAAAATAATTGAATTTTTTCCAACAATCTTATTTTATTTAGTTAAATTTTGAAACTTTTCTCCGAGTACATGTAACTTTCAACTATTATTATGTATATGAATTAAATATATAAATTAATTTAAAATTTGTTCCATCGTCGATATTAATTTAATTGTTCACTTTTCTCTATTTTTTCAGGCAATCTGATGGTAATATTCGTGGTAACATTCTCACGTCGATTGCGAAGCATAACAAACTTCTTCCTCGCAAATTTGGCAGTTGCTGATTTATGCGTGGGAATATTCTGCGTCTATCAAACATTAACAAACTACATAATGAATAGTTGGCAACTGGGCGAATTTCTCTGCAAAGTTTACATGTTTGTTCAATCATTGTCTTATACAGCGAGTATTTTGATATTGGTCGTTGTTTGCACCGAAAGATATTTGGCAATAATACATCCAATTAAATGTCGATCAATGTTGACGCGGAGTCGTTTAAGGGTCGTTATTGGAATTGTGTGGTTAATAGCGGCAATCTACGCGATACCGCGTTTCGTTTATGTCGAGACAATTAATAATCATTTGGACACGGGCGACATTGATGTGATTTGTATAGTTAATTTTAAGAGACACAATAAGGCGGCATTGGATGCTGTTAATTTAATATTTCTCTATCTCTTTCCATTATTTCTCATGTGCTGTTTATACACGAGAATTGCGGTTTCACTATGGAAAAGTGGCGCGACACTCGGTGGGCCTGGATTAGTTGCCAGAACGAGAAATGGACGTGTTCAACATATTCATACATCGAGTAGAAATGTCCTACGTGCTAGACGTGGGGTAATAAGGTACGTTACTCTTTTTTTACTCTAATTTTTATATTTTATTCTTATTAATAAAATCTATTCCAAGGTTGCCATCAAAAATTTATTTTTGTTTTTCCCTGACTTTTCCCTGATTTCTAGACAAAATTTTTAATTTTTCCCTGATCCTAAAACAGATTTCAGAAAATAATTGAATTCATGCGAAGAATTTTATAGACATTTGTAAAAATAATTGAATTTTTTTGTAGATTTTTATTAAGATTTTTGAAAATAATTGAATTCTTAAAAAGCATTTTACGACAATTTAAAAAAATAATTGAACTCCTGCGAGCAATTTTATTATATTTGTAAATGATTGAATTTTTTTGTAGATTTTTATTAAAATTTTTGAAAATAATTGAATTTTTAAGAAGCATTTTATGAAAATTTAAAAAATAATTGAATTCCTGCGAAGAATTTTATTGTAATTTTTAAAAATAATTGAATTTTTCCTAAGAAATTTATTGAGATTTTAAAAAATAATGAAATTAATACGAAAAAATGTATTATCTTTAAAAATAATTGAATGCCTGCAAAGAATTTTAATAGTTTTGAAAATAATTGAATTTTTCCAAAAAAATCTATTGATATTTTAAAAATAATTAAATTCCTGCGAAGAATTTTATTATTTTTGTAAATAATTGAATTTTATTGTAGATTTTTATTAATATTTTTGAAAATAATTCAATTTTTGAAAAGCATTTTATGAAAATTTAAAAAAATAATTGAATTCCTGCGAAGAATTTTATTATATTTGTAAATAATTGAATTTTTTGTAGATTTTCATTAAGATTTTTGAAAATATTTGAATTTTTGAGAAGCATTTAATGAAAATTTAAAAAAATAATTGAATTCCTGCGAAGAATTTTATTATATTTGTAAATAATTGAATTTTTTGTAGATTTTCATTAAGATTTTTGAAAATAATTGAATTTTTGAGAAGCATTTTATGAAAATTTAAAAAAATAATTGAATTTCTGCGAAGAATTTGATTGTTTTTAGAAATAATTGAATTTTTCCTAAGAAATTTATTGAGATTTTAAAAAAATAATGGAATTAATACGAAGAAATTTATTATCTTTGAAAATAATTGAATTCCTGCAAAGAATTTTAATAGTTTTGAAAATAATTGAATTTTTGCAAAAAAATTTATTGAGATTTTAAAAATAATTGAATTCCTGCAAAGAATTTTAATACTTTTGAAAATAATTGAATTCCTGCAAAGAATTTTATTGTTTTTAGAAATAATTGAATTTTTCCTAAGAAATTTATCGAGATTTTAAAAAATAATGGAATTAATACGAAAAAATTCATTATCTTTGAAAATAATTGAATTCCTGCAAAGAATTTTAATACTTTTGAAAATAATTGAATTATTTCAAAAAAATTTATTGATATTTTAAAGATAATTGAATTCCTGCAAAGAATTTTATTATTTTTGTAAAGAATTGAATTTTTTGTACATTTTTATTAAGATATTTGAAAATAATTGAATTCTTGAGAAGCTTTTTATGAAAATTTAAGAAAATAATTGAAATCTTGCGAAAAATGTTATTATTTTTGTAAATAATTGAATTCCTGCAAAGAAATTTAATACTTTTGAAAATAATTGAATTTTTGCAAAAAAATTTATTGAGATTTTAAAAATAATTGATTTCCTGCGAAGAATTTTTTCCAAATTTAAAAAAAGTAATTTCATTCTTCCGAAGAATTTTATTATTTTTGTAAAAATAATTGAATTTTTAGGAAGAATTTTATTCAGTTTTTTGTAAATAATTGAATTTTTCAGAAGAATATTGAGAAATATTGAAAAATAATTGAATCCCTCGGAAGAATTTTATTATTTTTAAAAATAATTGAATTGCGGCGAAAAATTCCATTATTTATAAAAATAATTGAATTATGACGGAGAAATTTATAAACAAATTTTGTAAATAATTGAACTTTTGAGGAATTTTTATTATTTATGAAAACAATTAAATGTTAGCGTATAATTTAATTAAAATATCTTTTAAATAATTGAATTATTTTGAAAAATTTTATTAAAATAGTAAATATTAAAAATCATTGAATTTAAGGAAAATGTTTGAAAGTAATTTATTTTTTGTGAAGAAATTTATTTTTTACGTAAATAATTTTAAAAAAAATGTAATTTGATTTTTTTAAAGAAATTTATTCTACGAAATTGTTAGTTAAAAGTATGAAAAATTCAAATTTTCAAAGAATTTAATTTAAAAATTAAAATCTTTCGACGAATTTTAATAAAATTTTTAAGAATAATTACAATTTAAAAGAAATTCGATTAAAATTGTATTAAAAATAATTAAAATCTTACGAATTTTATTATTTATGAAAATAATTAAATGTTTGCGTAGAATTTTATTATTTTTCAAAGTAATTGAATTTATAAAAAGAATCGAGATTTTCGAAAATAATTGAATTCTAGGGAAGAAATTTATTTTTTACAAAAATAATTTGATTCCAGCAATAATTTTTATTATTTTTTAATATAAATGAATTTTCGTGAAGAATTTTATTCATATTTTGTAAATAAATGAATTTTTGAGAAGAATATTGTGGAAATTTAAAAAAATAATTGAATTCCTGCAAAGAATTTTTTTTTTTGTAAATAATTGAATTTTTGCGAAGAATTTTATTGAGATTGTTGAAAATAATTGAATTCCTCGAAAGAATTTTATTATTTTTTAAAATAATTGAATTCCTCCAAAGATATATTTATTATTTTTAGAACAAAATTTGTAAATAGTTGAATTCCTGGGAAATTTTTATTATTTATGAAAATAATTAAATATTTACGTAGAGTTTTGTTAAATTTTTCTTTTAAATAATTCAATTCTTCTGTAGAATTTTATTGAAATAGTAGATATTGAAAATCATTGAATTGAGGAGAATTTTTAAAAATAATTTAATTTCATAAAATAATTTTATTATTTTTAAACATAATTAAAAGTTTTATAAGAATTTTCTTATGAATTCTGAAAATTTAATTTTTTTCATCATTTTTAATAAAAATCCTTGACTTTTCCCAGATTTCCCTGACCAATTCTACTTTCCTTGATAATTTCCCTGACCTTTGTTGTATAATTTATCAGTTATTTAAAAACAATTTGGTTATGCATTTCAAAAATTTAATCATCTCATATAAAAAAATTCTTCAAAAATAATTTTTTTCTATTTTATTTTTTTATTAAAATTTCTTTCTATGTGTTTATTTATAAACCGAAATAAGTTGCATTTTTGTACCAAAAAAATGGCTACTTTGTTGAATTTACACAGAATATAGTTTTTGATGTTGCATTTTAGAACAGAAATAAAAAAAATAGAATTTTGTGAAAACAAATCGGGAAAAGTCGCCTTTTTTTGAAAATGGTTGAAAAAAAAGTCAAAAAAGTCCTCAAGGCCGAGGACTTTTTTTCTCTAGGTGCGTGCTCACGAACTGCACATTTTTAAAACAAAAAACTTCTAAGTAACAACGAAATGCAGAAAAAAACTTTTTCCACGATCAGCATTTAAAAACCCTGATAAGATTTCAGTAAAAATGGAAAATATTCACCCAAACAAATAAGGAACATTAAAAAAAACTCTTTCCACAATTAGTATTTAGTATAAATGTTCAGCTTTTAAAAGTCTGATAAGATTTCAGTAAAACTCGACCATATATTACAAAATTATATTTCTGGGTCACATCGACCTTATTATGTACCACGAAGGTTGAAGCGCATTTTCACAATAATAAATCCCTTAGAAAACCTTTATAAAAACCTTTGTTTTTAGAAGAAACATTTTTTGAAAAAGTGTGCCTTAAAAAACATTTCTAAAAACCTGTTTTTAGAAATGTTTTTTAAGGCACACTTTTCCAAAAAATGTTTCTTCTAAAACCAAAAGTTTTTAGAAATGTTTTTTAAGGCACACTTTTTCAAAAAATGTTTCTTCTAAAACCAAAGGTTTTTAGAAATGTTTTTTAAGGCACACTTTTTCAAAAAATGTTTCTTCTAAAACCAAAGGTTTTTAGAAATGTTTTTTAAGGCACACTTTTTCAAAAAATGTTTCTTCTAAAACCAAAAGTTTTTAGAAATGTTTTTTAAGGCACACTTTTCCAAAAAATGTTTCTTCTAAAACCAAAAGTTTTTAGAAATGTTTTTTAAGGCACACTTTTTCAAAAAATGTTTCTTTTAAAACCAAAGGTTTTTAGAAATGTTTTTTAAGGCACACTTTTTCAAAAAATGTTTCTTCTAAAACCAAAGGTTTTTAGAAATGTTTTTCAAGGCACACTTTTCCAAAAAATGTTTCTTCTAAAACCAAAAGTTTTTAGAAATGTTTTTCAAGGCACATGTCTTAAAAATTATTTGTATTTCCAAATAGTAATAAATTTTCGAAAAGAAAATAATGTTCCTTTCTTTTCTTTTTTTTTCCAGAATGTTAATAACAGTGGTGGTGATGTTCGCCGTATGTAATTTACCACAACAAGCGAGAATAGCGTGGCTTCATTGGGATCCAAATTACAACAGAACATCGGACTTTAGTACAGTTCTAACACTGTCGACATTTCTCGTTTCCTACATGAATTCATGTTTAAATCCCGTATTATATGCATTTCTATCGCGTAATTTTCGTAAAGGAATGCGAGAACTTTTAATGTGCGCTAATCGTGATCAAAGTGGAAGATTGGGTATCGGTTGTACAAGTGGTGATGTTGCACGTCATGAAAGTGGACTCAATACAAATATAGCTCACAGCTCGATGGTGAGATTAAGTTCTGTTCACGATAGTCCTTGCTCAACACAAACTGTCACACGACAAGAAACTTTAGGTACATGCTCTTAAGCATTATTACTATTAATGTTATTATTGCGATAAATATTTTCATTACAATCCTCATAGAGAAAGGATTTTTATTGTTTAATATATTTTATTTAATTTTTTGTTTTTTTATCATTGTTTTAGTGCTGCTCTCTCATTAGTGCTGCTCTCGAGAATATTTTCGAAAAAAGAATGTTATTACTTTCTTTTAATTTTTTTTTTCAAGCGGTTCTTTCCCTCGAATGCAGCACTAATTATTATTATTAATATAATTAAAATTAGAGAGACGAATTATTAAAATTGTTGAATTCTATTTGACAAAGACATTAAGGTGGTCACTGAAGTTTCAATTTCAATCTGCTTGTCACGTTGGTCCTTACACAAGAGACCCTTAATTAGTAAAGTGCAGAATACTTACAATTAACTTTAGTCCAAAGTTTCTCTCTCTCTCTCTCTCTCTTTCTCTCTACCAATACATCCCCGAAGTAACAGTGTCGCATGTGAATGTTAATGTCCCTCGAGTCCAACCACAGACCTTTTCTGTAAAAAACGAATAGCATTTTAATGTAAAAATCTAGTCTTAAGTTTTTCTTAATTCTCGTTTTTTGTTCGATAATTAAAAATGTGTGTGCCAAACTTTAAGACTCAAAGAACTGTTTTTAAAAAAGGGTTTTATTTTGATGAAGGAGCATTATTGGATGGTGTGTTGGAATGAGTACTTGTTCCTGAATCTAATTCCAGAATCTAATTCCAGAATTTATTACGGATTTCGTATTAATTTTGTTTTTTATATTCGGATATTTATTTCAGAACTTATATGTCCGTAATTATTTCGGGAGTTATTTCAATACTTCCACTAACTAATTCAGTACTTATTTCAAAAATTATTCTAGTACTTATTCCAGTACTTAATCATGTACTTCATGCAGAACATGATTCAGTATATCTTTAAGTAATAATTCCAGGACTTTATCGTGAACTTAATGGAGAATCTGATTCAGTGCATCATTAACTACTAATTCCAACACTTAATTATTTACTTAATTCAGAACCTGATGCAGTACATCTTCAAGTACTAATTCCAGCACTTAATGATGTTCTTAATTCAAAACTTGGTTCAGTACATCTTTAAGTAACAATTCCAGCACTTAATCATTAATTCACAACCTGATTCAGAGCATTTTTAAGTACTTCTTGCAGTACTTAATTATGTTCTCAAATCAGAATCTGGTTTAGTACATTCTTAACTACGAATTCCAGCACTTAATGATGTACTTGATTCAGAACCTGGTTTAGTACATTCTTAACTACGAATTCCAGCACTTAATGATGTACTTGATTCAGAACCTGATTCAGTACATCTTTAAATATTAATTCCAGTACCTAATCGTTTACTCAACTCAGAACATGTTGCAGCACATCATTAATTACTAATTCGAGCACTTAATCATCTACTTAATTCAGAACCTGATGCAGTACATCATTAACTACTAATTCCAACACTTAATCATGTACTTAATTCAGAACCTGATTCAATACATCATTATCTACTAATGGCAAAACTTAATCGTCTACTTAATTCAGAACCTGGTGCAGTACATCTTTTAACACTAATGCCAGCACTTAATGATGTACTTGATTCAGAACCTGATGCAGTACATCTTTAAGCACTAATTCTAGCATTTAATGATGTACTTGATTCAGAACCTGGTGCAGTACATCTTTTAACACTAATTCCAGAACTTAATGATGTACTTGATTCAGAACCTGATGCAGTACATCTTTAAGCACTAATTCTAGCATTTAATGATGTACTTGATTCAGAACCTGGTGCAGTACATCTTTTAACACTAATTCCAGAACTTAATGATGTACTTGATTCAGAACGTGATGCAGTACATCTTTAAGCACTAATTCTAGCATTTAATGATGTACTTGATTCAGAACCTGATGCAGTACATCTTTAAATACGAATTCCAGCACTTAATGATGTACTTGATTCAGAACCTGATTCAGTACATTCTTAAGTACTAATTCGACTACCTAAATGTGTGCTTACTTCAGAACCTAATGCAGCACACAAATAAGTACCAGTTCCAGTATACTTAATCATGTACACTGTAAAAAATTTACCAACAAAAAGGCTTATCAAAACTTGCTAGCAAAGTTTTTCGAGTTCAAAATTTACTCCAAACATAAGTTGAACTGACGATAAACAGGAGGAAAACAAAAAGAGTTTATCATTAAAGAATTTATCATTCCTTTGGGAGCTATTTCACAGTAACATTTTGTTAAAAAGTTAATCTATAACGGAATAAAATTTTAACTCTCTAAATTTTTCTCCTTCAACTACAAAAAGATGCAAGTTTCATAGATAATACAACTCCTAATTAGGAGTTTTTCTAGGGTCTTTAAATATAGTAATTATTAATTTATGAGAACTAGTTAAAATTGTATTGCTCGCTTTTTACAGTGTACTGAATTGAGTACCTAATACCTCTTTGAGTACTCATTCCAATACTAAAATAAAAAAAAAATTTTCAGTTTTTGAAACAAAAATTCTTTTTGTATTTCAAAAAAATGAAAAACGTCCATTCAATCAATTTTGAAAATTACTTTTAATCTCCCTTATACTTTTTCTCCAAAGATAAAAGAAGGGAAAAAAATGTTTGACGCCTTTCCAATATTTACACCTTTATCAATGTCAGAAATGTCAAAATGTTCTCTTTTTTTTCGTTATGAAAAAAAGAGAATGTTTCCTAAGATGATTTTTCTTTCTTTTTCTAAAATTCCAAATTTTTTTCTCATGTTTCGATTATATACGAGGAAGAGAAAGGGTCGATAGGATAGTAGGAGAAGTAAATTTTGTAACTAAGGGAAAAAGAAAATTTACCACTCTTCAAGACTTTGTAATTGCCTTTGAATTTAAAATTGTACAAAATTTAATCTGAATTTGACATTAAACGGTGTTTTTCTTTTTTGTTTTACTTCTGTGGAATGAAAAAAATTAAAAAAAGAAAGTAATTGCCCCATTGTAAGGAGGAAATTCTCTAATTCCATCCTCTTTAATGATTGTTTCCCCGGCCGAATTTTACAGTTGTTTTTTTTCCTACCTTTTTTAAATATACATTTATTTGAATTTTTTAATTGCGAGAACAATTTGTAATTTCAAGCATAATGCTCTATATTTCTAGGTTTTTAAATTCTAAATTTCTAACCTTCAGATCTCTCTCGGATAACTTTAAATATATCTAAATTCCTTGAAGCTATTTAACGTCTAATTTAATTCCAAACAATTTTCTTTGTATTAATTATTAGAATTTATTTCTTGGAATTTAACTATTTTCTATTTGTTTAATTTAGAAACTTTAATTCGAATTAAATTTACTTTTATTTTTTTAGTTTTGTAATTTAAGATCTCCGTAATTTATGGCACTGCGCTATTTCAGCAGTTTATTATTAGTGATAAATTTTACTGTCTAGTGACATAATTTTTAATAGTTGTTTCAAATAATAAAATTCAATTTTACAATGTAATGGATTGTTACTGTTATTATTATGGTACTTTTGCAGTAAATTTTATCACACACGAAACGTTCTTCCTTTTTTTGGAGGGGGGGGGGGGAGAAATTTTCATAAATCTAGTAATTATTATAACCGTTAAAAATGTGCTCTAAAAAGAAAATTTAAATTATCCTCACAATAACATTTTTTGCATTATATAATTCATTAATAATTATAATTATTATTATTAATTATAATAATTATAATTATTAATAATCATAATAATTATAAAAGTTTTTGAGAGATAAAACGAATTTCTCCACCTGAGAACGCCAAGGTCATCACCAGGTGGCGTGGTGGCGTTTTCCTGGAAACTGAACCGCCATCTAGCGGTGACCTTGGCGTTCTCAGGTGGAGAATAGCGCCTCCATATTGAATCTCAAAAATTTTTTATCGGAAAATTTGTTACTTTGAATAAAAAAAATTTTTAAAAATAATAAAATTTGAAAAAAATAATAAAAATTGAAAAAAAAAATAAAAAAAAAATAATGAAAATTAAAAAATAATAAAAATAGTAAATAAATAATAAAAAATTGAAAAAAGAAATAAGTAAAAAGATCGATCGAGAATGTGAATAAAATTTCACCTACTTTTAAAGAATATACGTAACAAAACGAAATCTTCTAATTATCCTTCGAGAAAAGGAATTTCTAAAAGGAAATTAATAACAAAAGTAATTATATTACAATCAATCTTTAATTAATTAACCCAATAGAGCGTGGTATCTTTTTAAATTTATCTTCACAGTAGCACACACTATCTTTTTCTGTTCATCTTTAATTAATCAAAACCATATCTTTTAAAAATAATCGCCAATTAATCGTGTAAATTTTTTCTCTTTTTTTTAAAAAAGAAAAGAAAGAAAAATTTCTACCTCCTTTTTCTCGCATTTAATATCCGCCGTCTTCAAGAAAATACTATCCGAATTTTTTTTGGAAAAAATATTTCAAATAGTTCTAAGTCTTCTAAATTTTCATGAGCTACATTTATAAGAGTTTAAATTTTCAAGAAAGGACACACTTAATACTGGCCAAATATAGCTTTTATACGATCATATTTTTAAATTTCGATATAAATTTTCCTAAATTCTCTCTCTCTCTGTGTGTATATGTGTTCGGGAGAAGAAATTAAAGACTTGAGTAATTCTCAAGAATTTACTCTCTCTATCTTTCTCTCTCTTTTTCTCTCTTTCTCTCTCGAGAATTTTTCCTCGCGGACCATAAATTCTTGAGAAATGTGTTAAAATAACTATTTTTATTCATTTTCCGTATTTTATAGATTAGTTACGTTTTAAAAAAATTAAACTTTTTTCGAAATATTTTTTTTTCAGTAAAGAACGAAACGGTGCAGGAAAGACACTAATTTGTAATTTTACAAAATAGAATTCTTAAATAAGAAAAGACTTTTAAATACAATTTCAAATTTTTCCTCAAAATTACAAAACCGAAAATTTGAATAAACTATTTCAAAATTTTAAAACAATCTTTTGTCTACAAATTTTCTTTCTCATCTTAAAAATAAAAAAAAAATTTGCAAGCAATTTTTCGAAATAATCAATTATTTTATCACTTATTTTTGTATTTAAAATTTTAAATAATTAAATTCTCCTTCAAAATTTTTTGATAAAAATTGATTTGACAAAGAATTTTAGTTAACATTTTAGAAAATATTACAAGAATTGTAAAAATTACAGTTCTAATTTTTAGAAATAATTAAATTTTAAAAGGCTTTTAAATTGAAATCTTTTTAAAAAAATATTTCAAGAATTGAAAGAATTGCAGTTCAAAGTTATGGAAATAATTAAATTTCAAAAGGTTTTTATTGAAATTATTGGAAATTTCAATTAAAATGAATAAAAATAAGTATTCAAATATTTATTGAACAAAAATTAATTAAATTTGAAAAATTTTATTTAAAAATTTCGAAAACATGAGTTTTTTTTAAAAAAATCGTAATGAAAGTTTTTTAAAAATAGTTAAATTATCGAAAATAATTTTAGAAAATTAAAAAAATAGAAAATTTTCTTAAATTTCATTAAAATAAATTTTATATTGAAAAGAATTTTATTTTCTCACTTTAAAAAATTATTGTATTTTTTGAAAAATTGTAACTGAAAATTTGGAAAATTAATTAAATTTTACAAAAATTTTTGTATTTAAATAATTAATTTAATTAAAATGGATAATTCTAATAAGAATTGATTTAAAAACGAATTTCACTTAAAATTTTGAAAAATAATTGAATTTCAAAAGCGTTATAACAGAAATTTTAAGAAATATTTAAATTTTTAAATTATTAAAATTAATAATGCAAAAATTCTAAAAAATAATTGACTTTTGGAAAAATTGCAGTTGTAATTTTTGGAAATAATTAAATTTCAAAACGATTTGCATTGAAATTATTTGAAATTTCAATTAAAATAAATAACAATAAAAGTATTTAAATATTTATTAAACAAAAATTAATTAAATTTGAAAAATTTTATTTAGAAATTTCGAAAACATGAGTTTTTTAAAAAAAAAAATCGTAATGAAAGTTTTTTGAAAATAGTTAAATTATCGAAAATAATTTTAGAAAATTTTCTTAAATTTCATTAAAATAAATTTTATATTGCAAAGAATTTTATTTTCTCACTTTAAAAAATTATTGTATTTTTTGAAAAATTGTAACTAAAAATTTGGAAAATTAATTAAATTTTACAAAAATCTTTGTATTCATATAATTAATTTAATTAATTTAATTAAAATAGTTAATTCTAATAAGAATTGATTAAAAAAAAATTTCACTTAAAATTTTGTATAATAATTGAATTTTAGAAGCGTTATAACAGAAATATTAAAATTTTTAAATAAAAATATTTAAACGTTTCTTTTTTCTATACAAAAAACATTATTAATACATTATTTTCCTCTAAAAATTATTAAAGTTATAATAATGCAAAAATTCTAAAAAATAATTGACTTTTGGAAAAATTGCAGTTGTAATTTTTGGAAATAATTAAATTTCAAAAGGTTTCATAATGAAATTATTTGAAATTTCAATTGAAATGAATAAAAATAAGTTCTAGAAAATATTTGTTTAACAAAAACCATTGAAGTTTTAAATACAATTTAATTTAGAAATTATGAAAAAAATTAGTCTTTGGAAAAATTGTAATTAAATTTTTTTTTAAGATAATTGAATTCCTGAAAACAATTAAAAAAAATTTAAACAATTAAAAGTTTTAAATGTGAAAGAAAACAATTTTTGTTAAAAAAAATTGTTAACTTCTTTCACCATTAATATTAATTATCGAATGATAAATTCATTTCCTTTAATTAAAAGTTTTTTTTTAAATATCATTAAAATAAATGTTATATTTGAAAGAATTTAATTTTATTACTTTTAAAAATTATTTTGAAAGATAATTATATTTTCGAAAAATTACATTTTTTAAAATCTAATAATCGAAAAGAATGTTTTTGTAACTTATTTTTATTCTTTTTTAAAAATAATCAAAATTACTTTCCTTATTTTTCTTTTTCTTGAAATGTTTAAACGAGAAAAATTAGAAAAGGACAATAAAGATGTAAATTATTTTCCTTATTATTATTTTTTGTTGTTGAAATATTTAAAAAACAAAAATGGAAAGGACGATAAAGGTGTAAATTATATTTTTAAAATATTCAAAAATTATTTTCTTTTTTTTTTGAATTTTTTTTTTTTTTAATATTCAAAAAACAAAAATGGAAAGGACGATAAAGGTGTAAATTATATATTTAAAACATTCAAAAATTATTTTCCTTCTTTTTTAATTTTTAATTTTTTTTTTTTGCAATATTTAAAAGACAAAAATTGGAAAGGACGATAAAGGTGTAAATATATTATGCAACGTGAAAAGTCAAAGCATTATATTATAGTTAGGACTCTATACTTTATATTCCTCCCTTACTAGGAATCTACCCCCTCGCAATGAAGTTAATCGATGCCAACAAAGCCGGGCAGTACTTTGAGAAAAATAGCAATTCCCATGTTTGAATTACAATTCAAGAATCAAGAAATGCAGGCGTATAATACAAGCAAATGTAAATAAATTATAGCGTGTACAACATTTTTTTTCCACAGTAATTCTCATCTCGTGTTTATGATAAATTACTTTTTTTTTCTCATCGATTTCGCACATAATTCCTCATATAATATAAATGTATATGTTTATTGTAAATATACAAAAAGAATTGTTTATAAAAATTATTGAACTGTAATTTGTAAAAAAAAAAAAAAAAAAAAAAAAATACACGAGCTGATTTTTTATAAATTGGTAATTTTATTAATAAATAAAAACAAATCCCTCTACCTTTCTTTTTTTCTATTTTGTTTAAACAATGTCAGTGCTTATGACATTGGAAAATTATTAAATATTTAACAAATAATTTATTTATATTTATTTAACAAATAAATATTAACAAATATTTAATTTATTTAATACAATTTATTAAACAAATAAATATATATATTAAATAAAATTTATTAAATAATATTAGTTCCTAAAGTTCTGAACGTTCAAATAAACGAATTATTAATTATTAATTAATTTATTTTTTTTAAAAAGTTTAAAATTATTTTTATTTATTTATTTAATCTTTTATGTCAAATTTAGTTAATTTTGATAACTGATTACTTATCAATTATCGAAATTAAATAAATTTTCCCAATTCAGTGTAAATAAAAAAAAATAAAAAATTTTCCCTTTTTTCTCGATGCAGCAAAAAGTGAAAAACACAGAAGATAAAAAAAATGTTTTCAGAACAATGTGCGGAAAAGTTGCACACACACACACACACCCCTTTATATGGAATGTGATAAAAAAACTATATTTTGACTTTATGTGAAACGATCGTGTTGAGGAGACATTTTCACGTATGGCAAAGAAAAAAAAACGAAATGAGAATAAAATATCAAGATTTATAGGAATTTATGATAATATTTTATGGGTTTTATCAAATATTCTTTTGTGTATTAAAAACAAAAAGAATGCGGGCGTAAAACATCTATTTGTAGTGTTGTTAAAGTCACAAATTGCGAAAATACTATTATTCTAAATTCGGATACGATTCGTGGTACACACGCAATCGACGAGAATATTTTATGTTTCTTGTTTTGCTGTTTAAAAAAAAAACCGGAAAAAACTTAATTTCATAACTTTTAATTATTTTTTATTGGTTTTTTTTTTATTTTCTGCTATTTGGATAATTAACAATTCTTTGCAGATTAAACGATAATTTATCTTTTTTATATTTATTTATCAATTTTTATAATTATTAATTTATTTATTGTCTATTTAAATTATTATTTTTCGTTTAGTTTATTTACTTTCTATTTATTTTTAGTGTTTTATTTTTTTTTTATTTATTTTCCTAACATTTTTTAGTTAATTTCAATTTAATTTTTTACTGTTTTGTTTCTGTTTATTTATTTGTTTATTTTCTGTGTTTTTTTTTTTTTTTTTTTTTTTTTTTTTAATATTTTTAATATTTTTAATATTTTTAATATTTTTAATATTTTCATTGTGTTTTATTTTTTTTCTACTTATTTTCCTAACATCTTTTAGTTAATTTTCATTTATTTTTTTACTGTTTCATTTCTGTTTATTTATTTGTTTATTTTCTGCTTTTTTCCATTTTTTTTTTGTTTTTCATTTATTTATTTTTTTTTGTTTTCTATTTATTTTGTTATGTTTTCATTTATTCTTTGCTTTCTTTTCATTTTTATTCTTTCCATTTTTCTTTCCTTAAAAAAACATCCAAATATCTTTTGTTTGCAAAAAAAAAAGATTCCGCTGTGATTTTTAAAATACAAATAAATCTTGACATAAAAAGAAAGAGACAAGTGTTTTGTACAAATGAGAAATATGATCATTTTAAAAAATAATATATACTACAATTATACATTCTTTCTACATAGATTTGTATAAAATTGCACTATTTTCTCAGCTTTTCTTGGCACACGTTTATTTCTCTTCTCTGCGTGTAACATATTATAGAAAGTTTTATATCAAAATACCAGGAATTTATAATAAAGGATAAAGTCTTCCTCCTCTCACACTTATATGTTATACTTTTGTTAAATTTTTTCATAAATTTAATTTGGCAAAAATTTTTAAAAATTAACAAAAAATCATTTAAAGAAACAACAAAATTTGATTTTGAAAATATTTCTTCAATATTTAATTTTAATTTTTAATTTTACTTATTATTTTTAATTTTTAATTAACCTAATTAGAATAATGGAACAATTCGAATTGCAAACATCGCTATGAGAAATTTTAAATATATTCTGTATTGGAAATAATAGAAATAATTGCAAAAACTAAATTTTAATTTTTATCGTTATGGAAGTAATCTTGAATATATTTCCAATTAAAAATTATATTATTTCATTCAAGGAAAACAAGATTATTTGTTGCTAGATTACTTTTTTTTCCTACAATTTTTTATAATTTCATATAAAATTAAAAATTTTGAAATCTTTCTTTTTATGCAATTTTTATTTATATCAATTAAACTGTTACTTCAATTCCAGTTATTATGAATTCAAATAATAGACTTATTTTTACTTGAACAAAAATTATTCTGGTTCAAGTAAATATTTATTTAAATATCAAAAAATAAAAAATTATTTATTGAATAAATATTTTATTAATTTATAATTTATAATTTTATTTGTTAATATTTTATTAAATAGTATTTTATAATTTTATTTGTAAATATTTTATTAATTAGTATTTTTAGTGTATTTTGTCTATTATTAATTTTATTAAAATAAAAAATTAATGAACTATAAATTTATTTACTTGTAAATTTTTTTTCGTTGCTTCTTTTATATAAAATATATAATAAATAATTATATTTGATTTCCTTAGGGACACTATTTGTCAAGTATGTATAAATAAATCGTGAGTGAGAGTGAAAAAAGAAAAGAAAGCCTCTTCCTTGTAATAAGTCAACTGCACACGAAGATGTTCAATAATAGATTAAAGACAATTATTTTTTGCCATAATGGAAATTGTCGATCATGTGAGTACTCGGAATTATCGAAAATTCTTTCTTTATGTCACAATAATAAGAGGTCTTTGAGTTCAGAGAAAACCAGTTAATTCTAATCTAACTCCCTCGCAAATGGTTCAAAGTTATCTCTTTCTCTCTCTCTCGACATATGAAATAGATAATTTATTTTTTTAGTCAGAATGTTGTTTACTCTTTCGATAATTTCTGACAATAGATCATTTTTAAATTTATTTCTTCTCCTGTGATGTAAAAGAATCATTAATTATTATAATTATAATTACATTATAATATATCTAATATAATACAAAATAAATAAAATTTTATTATTACCCATACTTTTGTACTTTTACACAAATAAAATATTGTAGTGTCTGTGTATATATTTTTTATTAATTAATTAATTAATTAATTAATTAATTATTATTAGTTTATTTAATATTTGTTAATTTATTTCTTTATTTACTTGTTAATTTAGTACTTATTATTTCTTTGTTTATTTAGTTTATTTACTTAGTTTTCATTTGTTTATTTGTTTATTTGTTTGTTTATTTAGTTTATTTATTTAGTTTTCATTTGTTTATTTATTTATTTATTTATTTACTATTTATTTATTATTAATTTATTAATTTAGTATTTAAATTTGTTTGTTTACTTATTATTTTACTTGCTGTTTTATTTGTTAATTTATTTATTTATTTTTGCACCTATATTAATTTAGTGTTTATTGAATATTTGTTTACTTATTTCTTTATTTGTTTATTTAATGTTTCTTCATTTAGTATTTATTCAGTTGTTCCCTATTTAATTTCAGTATTTATTTATTTATTTATTTATTTATTCAATACACGGGTTTACAATTTACACCCTTTATAATAGAAAATATAAAAAAGTTTAATGCTAAATGCTGTGTGAACTTCGCAATTAATTAAATTAATTATTTTGGTTAATGTTATTATTTAATTACTATTTATTTGTTAGTGATTTATTAATTTAGTACTTAATAATTGTTTGCTTAGTATTTATTTTTATTATTTATTTTATTTAGTATTTATTTACTAAAGATTTATTAATTTAGTGTTTATTTGTTTTTTGTTTGTTTACTCATTATTTTACTTATAGATAAACTCCGAAAAATTGAGAACCAACAAAAACTCCGCATTCGAAAAAATCTTCAGTCGCGGAGAATCGAACTCTGGACTCACCTGTTACGAAACTAACAGCTTAACCACTGAGCTATCGCACTTTTGATATTATTCTTGCATTTATTTACTATTTATTCATTTTAGTTCTTTATTCATTTATTTTTTATTTTTCAATTTATTTAGTATTAATTTATTGTTATAGCATTGTTTTCATTATTGTTTTTATTATTGTTTTCATTATTAATTTTATTATTGTCTTTATTATTGTTTTCATTATTAATTTTATTATTGCCTTTATTATTGTTTTTATTATTGCTTTTATTATTGTTTTCATTATTAATTTTATTATTATAATTATTATTAATGAAAAATTCTCAATTACTACCAACAAAAAAAAAACTGTTCATATATAAAAAAAATTTAGACAATATTTTCAAAAACTTTAATAACATTAATAATAAAAAAAAAGCTTCACCCATATTTTTTATATTAGAAATATTTATGAAAGTTATTTGACAATCTGTTCTAATATCTCGAGAAAATGGAAGCTTACAACAAAAGTTAAATTCTTCTTGTCTTGTTGGAATGCGCAGCAATCTCATAATTGTATTTTCATCTCTTGAAAACACTCAAACTTTTTTTTTTTCATTTCTAATAGAAACCGACTACATATAGATATATATATACGTATCATTCAATTATAGTTTTAACTCTCGCGGCTCCATGAAAAAGAAATTAAGATTTCCCCGGAGAAACTAAAATATCCACGCGAGTGCCAAAAAAAAATATTTTACTTCGTATCAATAATAAAAAAAAAATTACCCTCCATTTTTTAGAAATTTTTTCCGCATTTCTTTTTTACTATTTTTTTAATTTTAATATCAGAAAATCCCCACAAATATCAATTTCGTAATTTTTATATATTTAAAAAAATGTCAATAAAAATCATATTTGCTTCTGCATTCTTTTTTTTATTGTTTTCTCTTTTTTTTTGTGTTTAAAAAGTCATTTTTATCGTTTTACAAAATCTTTATTATATATGCGATTTAAAAAG